AGGTATTTAAAAGTATAAATAGGAAATGGGTTTCTGATCCGTTTCCTATTTTAAAAGTCTAAATAGGAAATGGGAAAAGGAAAAGGAAGGGGGTACGTGCGTGTACCCGCGTGCACGTGCGTGTACCCGCGTGTACGTGCGTGTACGTGCGTGTATCTGCGTGTACCTGCGTGTACGTGCGTGTACCCGCGTGTACGTGCTTCCACTTCAGGGCACAAACAAACTTAATACTAATAATAGTGCTCATTGAAATGCGTGAACAAATTAATTTCTTAGTTTCAGCTAAAACAAACTAGGGAAGATGCGTCATTCGGGAAAAAAATATTTCCCCATGTAAACAATATGACATTGAGAAACTAAAAGAGCCTGTGATATCTCAAAAAGGGATCCAGCCTCGATTTCACGTTCCTTCATGCTACTACTTTTAATTGCAACACTGAATCGTTAATAGAAACCCGTAGCCATCTTCCCATTTAAAACTCCTGGGTCCGTCGGAGAGTAAATAGTAACAATTAATACAGAGCTACCTAGTAACCAAGTAAATCAAGAAAGATGTCTTGGTAATGTTAATGCAAGCAGTGAAGCAAGACCCAAATCAGTGGTGTGTGACTCGATCGTGATTGATGCTCGCGCCACGATGCATTGAGAGAAAGCGTATCAGGGGTTAATAATGCCAAATATTTGTCATAACTTGTCAATTTGTCAAATAACGATATAAATTCATGGGGGGAGGCATCAGTTACCATGGTGACTGCTATCTGTCCGATGCGCCATGCTTGCTGCTCATATATATGCTTGGACGGCAAATGCTTTAAATTTAGCTGAAAGATGAAGACTAAACACAAAGAGGGACTATAACTATATACTATAACGCATCTAATGTTTTTTTAGTGGTCATGGTACGCCGTGGTCATATTTGGGGGGGGGGGAGTATGAGTTACCACGTTGGCATGAATGATTGTTATTTTGTGCACCTGAATTAATTCTTATTCCATGGGATTGAACGGTGAAACTTTGCTTTGCACGTCACGTTAGTTATACCTTACGTATATACCTTACGTACCTTATACACGTGCTACCTACACGTGTTCGCACACAACTAGTTCTTTCCAACGCGGATATGTGTTAAGTGACAATCGATCACTGCTAGCGGTTTACGAGAGAATATTCGCGCTGCATATTTACACGTGTGTTTACGCGCGTATTCTCTCGTAGATGCGCCGCGAGGCAGTCTAGACCCGTGCGTATGCGTGCCGGCATTTCGTCTCACACACTGTCAAGTGCTGGCGCTTCTATCCGTTTTTGTTCTGTTTTAGGCAAGCGCGCCCTGTTGCTACCAGCACCAGACGAGGACGAACCAAACATGCCCTTCCAGGCGCTCGTGCTCATACCCGTTAGCGAAAAGGGTAACTATTATTATTTACGATACTATTCGCTAGGAGGCGGGTCGGCCGACCCTGGCTCCGACGGTACGTCGGCGCAGATTTTGAAGTGATGATTCGCGCACTCGCCCCTAGAGGTCGGTCCACACGCTCCATTCCCTCCACGCGTACGTCAATGCCACATCGTAGCAACACGTTGGAGGCCAATTTCAGCTCTTCCGCGTGTGTGACATAAAATCGCAATGTCGGATTTTCGCAGTAAGATAGGAATACTGTGCGAATACTGGCGTTGTGAGCTGGCTCTGGTCGTGGTATTAGCGATGGTGGATAGAGGCGGTGGGGCTTACTCTGTGCAGCATTATGGAGATCGTTGTTAATGGTTAGTGCTTATACTTCGCAGGCTTGGAAACTAGGAGTTATGGAGAGCAGGTTACAGGGGGAGTTAGGTTACAGGGGGGCAGCTTGCTTTGTAGCGAGTCGAGAGCTGGTTGGGGATTATGAAATGTCGTTTTGCGGTAGCAAGCTATAAATACGTCGCTACACTAGATAGAGTCAGTGGGCAGCAGTGTGTGTTATACGCTAATCTGCTATACAACTGACATAGCAGCTAGGTGGTTTGCCTAATGTGGGAAAAAATGTCGATGCGAGGGTATGTGTGGCTATATATTACTTTCCCAGAGTTATTGCACTGTTTCCGCTGTAGTTAGTATTTCCTAGCTAGGAAACCACGCGCCGTTAGCTTGCTGTAATGCCACGTATAATTCATTTAAAGCACCCTCAATAAATAAATGTTAATCTGGTATAATATGGCGCGCTTGAAACATAAAACGTCGTCCTAAAACCACGCCTACGCCACTGTGAGCAGGCGTGCAAAGCCCCTATAGCACACGCCCTGCGCAGCATTCTTTTGCAGTGCTGTTATTTCGAAAAGGAATTTATAGCAGTGTAGATTTCCACGGTGCCTCAGACTTTCAGGCAGGTTGTGCCACCGGAGAGGCGGCGTTGCGTGTAGGAATATGAAGTTTACTTGTGCCAAATCCCGACTTTCAGTATCGTACTTGAGACTCTGTCAGCGGCCCAAGAGTATTACGCAAAGCCGAATGACGCAGGGGGTGGTCACTGCCAGAGCGTTTTACATCCTCAGTGGTTGTTTTACGTTCCTTATTACTGGAGACGGGCCCGCTATTTCACGTGGTCCACCGAGCCCTGCGCGATTCACAATCCTCAATGTAGCGGGCCGGGGTCCATTGCTATAGAAACAAAATTAGTCTTAACATTAGTCTTGGTTTATTGGCGTTTCGTCAACAACCAATTGGTCTACTAGCCTGACCTCTGTTTGACCTGGCTCGTTTAGCTATTTCTGATTAACCCTAACCCTAACCCTAATCCAATCCTAACGAGCCAGGGCAGACAGAGGTCAGGGGGTCATGGACTCTTTTGATTTACTGCCAATTAGACCAAGTGAACAGTGGACAGACGAAGTGGCAATTTACAATAGTTTTATCGATTACTTTTACTCGTATACCGAACGTCTACACGCTGCGTATGAGAAACGTACTCGTCATGAAACTTTACCATGCTTTTGTCAACGGTCTAATGGCCCTGTCACACATTGACGATTTAGACAGCGTATGCCGGACGTATCAAAATTTCTCTAAAACGCTGGAATACGCTGAACTATCAATGTTTTTTTCAATTTTGGGCGTATACATAGCGTATTCATAACGAGTTGGACGTATACATAGCGTATTCATAACGAGTTGGACGTATACTTAAAGTATTAGTAACGTATATAGAACGTTTCGATAACTTATAAGATAACTTATACCAACGAATGCTTAGCGTGTTGCCGGCGTTCACAACTTATGCCCAACGATAGTCTAACTTGTGCATAGCGCGCGGCAGAGTATCGCCGACGATCACGTGTCGTAGCCTATAAAAAGGCTGCCGCTCGACGATTCAAATCATAACCGCACTAGACATCACAGTATCAACATCACCGTCGCAGTATCAACATGCCAATACTATTTTTATATACCAATTCCCTTAAACGCTGCCAATACGCCATTATACGGTAGCTGTAAGTTAGAAACACGTTCAGTAAGTTCTGTGGTCGTCCGGAACACGTCAAATACGTCTACATACGTCAATATGCGTTGGAGATAAGTTACACATAGGTTCAAAGCACGTTACTCATAAGTTAGAAATAAGTTTTGGGTACGCTAGACATTATCTCGACGTATTTCGACTTATGAGTAACTTACAAGTAACGTGTGTGAACGTGTGTCAACGATCTCATAACTTACCTACAACTTATGGCCCACGTATGCGGGACGTATGGGCATACGCTGGCATACGTCGGAAAATTTTGAGCATGCTCAAAATTTTTAGACAACCTCGCCGTACTACGACGTATACCAGCGTGCTTCAGCGTGCTTCAGCGTGCTTCAGCGTGCTCTTAACTTATACAAAGCTTACCCATAACTTATTCGACGTACGCCAGCGTATTCACCAAATTTTTGATACGTCCGGCATACGCTGGCTAAATCGTCAATGTGTGACAGGGCCATAAGAGAGAGAGAAAAAAAAGGTTAATTTTATGACTAACGTTAATACTAATTTTGTTTCTGACAACGGGCCCCAGGTTCTTACCCAGGTTTGGTCAGAAACTTGTAACAACCTTCGTAGTGTAAGCTAGGTAGACGTGTTATCCAGTGGCCGACCGCAACTCCCTGCAGTTAGCCATCCATCGTGGAAGGTACAGGGTTCGTAGCGGGTCTTCCAAAGTCTTATAAGTACTTATTTTGCCAAAAATAAAATAAGGGCCCTTGGTGAAATCTTAGAAAAGTACTTAATAGTCCTTGTTTTTTCTCGACTTAGAGTAAGAATTGTTGTATATATAATACGGAATAATTAAATCTGCTGTGCAATTGTGTATATAAATATTGTTAGTGTACTTTAATAGTCGGTGATCTATCAGAAATCGTGTAAAAAAGTCTTATTTTGGCCTCAAGAAAGGGTCTTATACGTCCTTATTTCAACATGTGTCTTACTACTATGAACCCTGAGGTAGCACTCAGAGAAACGCCGGTGGTAACCGTCCCTCTATTGTCCTCTCTGGCCAAGCAGTCAAACATGGTCGCATGAATTTCATTCACGATTCTGTTGGGCGGTGGAACTTGTGCTCATAGGGTCTATGTCCCCCAGGGTACTGCCGGAACGTACCCTGGGTACGGTCCGGACCGGTATACCGGAACGAACCCTGGTAACTATCTGATATGGCTAGGGTTAGGGTTAGGGAGTAGGCGTAGGGGACTCCCTAGACTCGTTAGTGGAGTAGGCCAGGTACGGTCCGGCATATTAGATAGTACCAGGGTACGTTCCGGTATACCGGACCCTCTCAGCCCCTCCATGCTGACCCTCTCAGCATAGACAGGGGACATAGCATAGATAGGGGGACATAGACCCTCTCAGCGGAACTTGTGTGTGCGCGCGTGCGTGCGTGCGTGTGCGTGCCTGCGTGCGAGCCAGTAATTGTGTTTGTGTGTACGCGTGTATTTGGATTCGTTCAGTTTCTCTTTTTGGTGACAAATTGGTATTTACAATACATTCAAAATGCACTACGTAGAGGGCGGGTCCTGGTAGGAACTTGTCCCGGTGAGATGTAGGGGCCGCGCAGTTAATTCGACTTGCCTCAGCTCTCTCGACGGGTCGTCCGGTTTGTGATTTCAGAAAACTGCGTGTCCACTACGCGCGTGCAATAATATAATGTGCCGCCGCGTGCGTAAATGCTACTACATCTTAGACAGGCGCCGGGTCGTTCAAAATTGACTTGCGGGCTATGCTACAGTGACGTTTGGAGTCCGTCTTTGTAAACGCTATGCCAACAATCCAGGCCGCAGAACGTTTTACTGTTTACTATTTATCGTTTTTGTGTATTCAGGTCTATAGCTGTAAGCAGAAAATATTTGCGGTTTCGTTCAGTCGTGTGGTTTTGTGCGGGTTTTTGCTTTGCCTTTAAAACATTATTTTAGCACATGAGCATGTTACGTAAAACGGTATCTGCTTTAAAACGCTATCTAAATACACATACATGTAGTAGATACATGGGAACGACACGTTTACAAACCTATGATTTCCGTTTGAACTTACGAGCGTACAGGAAGACGGAGTGTCGCCTAATTATGATGTGCCATAAATTCTAGCCTAGAATTTTATCCTGATATGGGCGTTGGCTAGTAGCTGCCTGAAAGCCGGGGTTCAAGATTAGCCAGACTTACAAGTAGCACCTAATGTCAGAGCATAGTGAATGTGGAACTAAGGGGACGAAAAGAAGGGGCCAGGAAACATTCGTCGAAGAATGAAGGAATGGCAGGGCAACCACCCTCTCTCCTACCCTCATACTCCGTATAACTCTCATAACTCGTATAACTGATAATGTATTTTCTTCTCTTTGGCGCGTGATATAAACTTTTGATTATATTTTTTTTCTATATGCATTAGGAGCAGCCTGATTAGGTACCGTAATTAGAATTAGGATTAAGTAATTTCCATCTCTCAGTGCTTGCCGTGGTGCACTTATGAACTCGTAGGCTCTTGTACTTTATGTATTACTAACGGTTATTACGCTATTCGGATATATTCTCAGTGTGTTGCGCAACTGTACTTTCCTTTTGTCTTTTCTGACTTTGTGCTGCTAGAGGGCTGGTTGAGCAGAATTTGTTGCTGCAGTTTCTAAGATTCGGAGTTGTGAATCGTAGCATTCCGTGGCCTATAGACCGTTATTACGATAGCTGTACCTCAACTTTTCACTATACATCTATTTGCAACTCTTGCGGTGTCCTTCACACTAACTCACCTTCACACCGTCTCAAGCAGCGAGTTACAGTTAGTGTCTTATTTGTTTGCCCTTCACGATCACGAATCCTATCCGCTCTAGATGGTTAATTCAATGTCAAGGATATAATCTTTATGGTGTAATCATGTAATTCCGCAAGGTGTAATTACTGGGTTGAATAAATCTGTGCTCGTTAGGTGTTTCAGTTCTAGGGAGACGTAATCTAACGTTGAGGAAATCTATTAAAATGTGCTGCAAGTATAAGAATGTCAGGACGTTACGACGGTGGGGCGGGGGGGGGGGTGCCAAAAGAACACAGATGTTGGGATGATGCTGTTACTAGGGTGAAGAGGATTCTACAATAATGAGTCTGCCCAGTAAACGCAGATGTTGGGATGAGGAGGTTGCCCGAGTGACGCGGATGCTAGTATAAGGAAGTTGCCAATCTTGCAGAGATCTTACAAAGATGCTAGGATAATGTGGTTGCCAAGATAGCAGAGATGTTAAGATGAGAAGGTTACCGGGTTTGTGAAGATGTTAGGATAAGAGGTTGCCAATCTTGCAGAAATGTTGAGATGAGAAGGCCACCAGGGGGGGGGTGAAGATGCTACTATAAGGAAGTTGCCAATCTTGCAGAGATGTTGGGATGAGAAGGTTCCCAGCTAGCGTGCATGGTTAAGATGCTAGGATAAGGAGGTTGCCAAGATAGCAGATATGTTAAGATGCGAAGGTTACCGGAAGAGGCTGAGATAATGAAGCTGCAAATCTAGAAAAGATGTTGGGATGAGAAAGTTTCACGGTTTATGACGATCTTAGGATGAAGAAGCTGTTAAGGTGAGAACGTTGTGATTCGGAGATAGGCATCTGTGGCGGCAGGGTTAGATAGGTTCGGCCCAGCCGAATCATGGGTTGCCACTCCAGGAAGGTAAGTCCCAATGCTGGGGTGGTGCCTTTTCTAGTGTTATGGAGGATGTTTGTATGGGGAAATTGCCAGGATGTAAAGGATATCAGAAATGGACTAATTGGAATATGTGCCTGCCGAATTGACTGGAATTACCAGGCGCTATTGCAGACAAAGAGGCTGTTGAAACCCCAAGCAGCTGTGAGTGGAATTGCATTGCTTGAATTACAAAAACGCAGCTAAAGAAAACAGCTGCCATAATATCGCAAATTGACTTCGAGCATTCTGGAAACGCCAGATCAAGGGACTTTAAAAACGAAACGATTCCGCCCATATAGTTTTTCAATGTTCGCGTGCAGAAAAAAAGGTTAGACCGGTTCAGTGACAATTTTCGCACGTAACGACGGCAGTATGTTTGTAGCATGTTTTGTGTGTTTGGGAACTTTGCAATGACGCTGCACATTGGTTTGTGTGTATATGCAAGTGTCATTCCGATAGCAAACTGCGAGGGTCACGTCTGATCTTTGTTTTTGTGGTTGTTGTGTTGCCGGATGTTCTTGCAAGACATACACACGCTCGCGCGCACACACACACACACACACACACACACACGTACGCACGCATGCACACACACACACACACACGCGCACGCACGCACGCACGCACGCACGCACACACACACACACACACACACACACACACACAACAAGCTGGGTTCGATAAATAGTGTAGAGGATGTATGGTGTAATTAAGGTGCTCATGTAAAACAGGAAATGTCTAGCAGGTAAAAACCGACCGGGGCTTTAATCGGAGTACGTATTATTGAGGGTATAAGTGTCAGATGTGTGCCACGGAAATTTTTGTCATTTTTTTAAATATATATTAGATTGATGATTACCAAACCTGTGCACGTAAACCTGGGGAATACGCACCTCTTATGAACAGGGATGAACCATACATTGTGTGTGCGTGCGTGTGCGCGCGCGCGTGTGTGCGTGTGCGTGTGCGTGTGTCTGTGTGTGCGTGCCGCAGCGTGCATGCGTGCGTGTCTGTGTGTGCGTGCGTCAGTGCATGTGCGTAAACTAGTCCCGCGAATGACCTTTTGCCTTTCGTTGTTATCGCAACAGACAAGGTGTCGGCGGTGGTCGAGGAACCCGGCGCACGCGCCAAGTTCCATCCGCTGGATCAGGTGCTGGAGTGTCTGCATCTTGACACGGGACCCCTCAACGCACTGTCACGACAGATGATCGGCCGTCTGGAATTGTAAGTGTCCAGCATGTAGGGTAGTCATAGCATCAAGAGCGTATTAAGAATGTTTTAAGAAAGTATTAAAGGAATAATAGGCCCATTCAAATGATTGATTATGCAAAGTTGACGAATGCTACAGTAACTGGCACCTTGTGCAGTTAATAAGTACATTACCTTATAGCCAAACGCGTATTAGTTTGTCCAATATCACTGCTTGTTACTAAGAAATGTCTAATTGAAATCCGCAGTCCAAGAAATCAGTTGACGGCGAAACGGATGTGATACAGATTTATAGTGCACCGGACATTTTCGCACGCATGCTCGGCCGTACGCAATGCTAGCGATAGTACAGTACCGTAACTGTTGGACTAACCACGGCCACAGACTAAACATGGAAAGCAGATGGCACTACGCGTATTTACCTATATTGGTCAAACGAATACACCTGTATCTGAAATTGAAGACATGTTGGTACCCGTTCATTGGCACCCACGGTTATTTACTTGTGCCTCAATACCGAGAATACACCCAGAGATACATTCTACTAGCTCATTAGTCATTATAAGCATCCCGGTACAAACAATTCTCTGCTCAACACCCGTAGCAACATGTGACGTCACCTAACCGAATTTGAGGCTATTTTTCTTGGCAACCAATTTAGCGTTGGTGCCAGATTACCAGATTTATGGATTTCAATTAGACATTTCTTAGTAATTAGCAGTGATATTGGACAAACTAATACGCATTTGGCTATAAGGTAATGTACTTATTAACTACAAAAGGTACTGTTACTGTAGCATTCGTCAACTTTGCATAATCAATGGGCCTATTATGCCTTTAAGCATTCTTAATACAGTCTTGATAGCAGGTATAGTCAAGAGAACATATATAGCAGATGACCGTATATAGAGCTCCTTCTGTGTCGCCAGTATAGCGATTCAGAATGTGGGACGAGATGGAATTAACTGATGTATATTTATTTCAAAGAATTCCACATTTTTCGACCGTTTGTCCTTGGTCACGCAGTTTATGTGCGCGCGTTTGTAGGCCGGTTTGTATGCGTAGCGATGCTTCTATGTTAGGAGTATAGCGTGACTACGACATAGTGGTGTTACGCCTTCCATAGTAGCTAGGGCGTGGTTGTTGAGATTGTGAGTAGATTCTGAGTAGAATGGGTTTGGCACTGGGTCGTCAAGTAGTCGCACTGCAAGTTTCTCTTGGGATAATTGATATCTTGAATGTCCCCATTCATAAAAGCTGAGTTTGTGTGCGTGCGTACGTGTGTGCGTGCGTGCGTATATAAGTGTAGGAAAACGTTTTCTATCGAGAATGCATTTAGAAACTCGATGCCTGTGTTTCAATGGACATTAATAAATACGATGAAACCTGATTGCTGTTTATCCTCGTGTGAACAACTTGCATTGAGAGATGAATTGAATGGGCAGATATGTAAGTAGATAGCAGTGATCTAGATAACAGAAAAGCACGTCAGTATGATAACAGAACGGCAGTATACGCGATGCTTTCTATTGGTACACTCACCCAGCGGATTAACTTTGTACATTCACCTTTTGCGGCCTTTAGTAAATATGTGCTTTCTAGGGCTGCGCATTGCGCAGCAATACGTGAGTGACGATAAAACCATCACATTTACAAAGTTTACCGATGGCGTGGGCTGTGTAGAAACATCAGTGTTATCACGTGTGCGTATTCATTCTGTCACCTATATGAAAGATGTCATCCTTATTTGTTTTGTGTGGTTATTCTTAAATTCCCGTTTGCCGGCTGCTTTTTTGCGTTCAGTTCACTGCTCTTATTCGGCTGGAATTGGTGTGATTACATCGTTTGTCAAGTGTAAACAAGTGGCGCCCTCTGTGGATGTGTGGTTTGTATATCAGAAGCACCGGCTTTGCTGCATGTGAGGTGCTCACCACCTAGCCATGCGACACTGCTGTGTTCTCCTGTATGAGAATGTTCGTGCTCACTATTTCACGCCTGCATCTATCTAGTGATGATGCATCTATCTAAATGCAATCACGAACGTTTGCCATACGAGCACTTTGACACATGTGTATAATGTCAGAAGTAGATAATAGGGAACTATTATCTTCCTATTATCTTCCCTATTATCTACTTCTGATAATATGCACTTATGTATGTAGTTTCTAAGTGACTTGACTAAATCGGGAAAGCGTACCTATAAAGAGGTTAACGTGAAATGGACATATTGGTGGGAAATTTGAGGAGGAGTGGGGTACAACCGTACAAGTGATATCTTCAGTCAGGGTTCCAGGTTTATATTCAGTCATTGCATGTGCTACTAGTTGGCACTGCAGACAAATCTCCACCTATATTTGCATAGCGATGGTTTGGAATTGCAGAGGAGCTTCATGTGCACGCTTGAACAAATTATTTAGGTTATAAATATTACGGGCTTGATTTAGGGGAAGCAATAAGAAAATATGATATTTATCATATGCATTTGCGAATCGTTGATGTTTTGGCCCTTAGTTTATTGCTGGTCAATAAACTGAGCACTCCAGGCATCTCAACATGGGTGTGGTGCAGGCATGGTGTCCCAGCATCATTGCAGTGTTGCAGACACTGCATCGAGCCTACAACACTTGCAACAGTTGTTTGATGTTCGTTGGATACGAACAAGCACGACTGTTAGTAGCTCTAGTACGTAGTACATAGTACGTTCTAGTGCGTAGTACATAGTACGTTCTAGTTCGTAGTACATAGAATGTTCTATAGCCCTGCGGCGGAGCTAAGGGCTATAGTACTAGAGCTAGACTGTTAGTGACGCTCATAGGGTCTATGTCCCCCAGGGTACTGCCGGAACGTACCCTGGTAACTATCTGATATGGTTCGGGTTCGGGTTAGGGTTAGGGAGTAGGCGTAGGCGACTCCCTAGACTCGTTAGTGGAGTAGGCGAGGTACGGTCCGGCATATTAAATAGTACCAGGGTACGTTCCGGTATACCGGACCGTACCCAGGGTACGTTCCGGCAGTACCCTGGGGGACATAGACCCTCTCCGCGTTAGTGACTGCAGTCGGTGTGCTATGACGCCTAACAACCTCATAGCGCTCTCGAAACGAGGAACCTTCCCAAAATGAGATAAGCACAAACGACTATCCCTTACGAGTTTAACTCTCACACCTCACTTGCATGTCTCCTGTAATGAAGCAACACTGGCGACGCGTTTTCAGGTAGTTTCGGGACAAGTGCCCTATCATCATGAAGTGCCTTCTCGTTATTAAGTAAACACATCAGTTATAACTGTCCGCGACGTGTGTTTGTCATGCGTGTGGGCGTTTGCGTCTGCATGATAATGCATGAGGTAAGAACTAAGAATATCACATGACGTCACTGCGTTGCACCTTCATGCTGCACCTGGCCATCATGAGCGCGCGTGACTCTCCCTAACAACATGAACACTCACTCTGCTGATTCACGCATCCTGTAAATTAGTAGCTTCGCTGGCCGTATCTTTTACGGTGGTTTGGGGGGCAAGTGCAGTACCATCATGAGCGCGCGTGACTGTCCCTAACAACATAAACTCTCGCATGCCAATCCAGGCCAACTCTAATGTAGCATCTTTTCGGGTTGTTCTGGGGCAAGTGCGGTCACATCGTCAGCTTCACCATGAGCGCGCATGAGCGTTCGTTGCAACATGTCGCGATTCAACGCAACCTATAATGCAGCGTCGCCGTCGCTTCAGGTGGTTCCGGGGCAAGTGCCGGGAGCCGTGTGCAATAGAGGCGCTGTTCCGCGTGCACGCCGACGCGCGGCTCGGCCAGACGACGACGAACCCCGTCTTCTCGCAGGACCGCGGCCGGCCGGCGAGCAATGAGGCGTTCGCCAACCTGATGGCCATCGAGAAGTGCGACATCGTCATCATGAACCCGCTGTTCGGCTCCGGCTTGCCGCTGCCCTACAAGCCGCAGGTGAGAGCCGCCGATGCACGCGCGGGGGGGGGGGGTATAGAGGGGGAATGGGTTTGGTATGGAGGGGGAATGGGTTTTTTCACTCGTTTTTGTTCATATATACAATATTAATATAAGATATTTACACACATTCCACTATATATATTTTTATTTATATTTATTCTT